TAGGTCTCGGGCCAGGTGCCAAGAGTGCGGTGGTGGTGTCCAGCTGCACAAGGAGTCAGAGGGAGCGGCCTCTGAGAAGCAGGCCTGCCGGGACTGAGGCCCTGGCAAGCTTGCTCAGCGGACACCTGGCAGCGTGAGCCTGCGGGGGTCATCCGTGTGGGAGTGGCCCAGGATGTCCAGCAGGGGAGGTGGCATTTCTAAGAAAAGTGAAGGGAAGAGAAGGACCAGGGTACACGCAGGAGCTACCGTTTTCAGGAAGTCAATGAGGTGAAGGGGCAGCAGGCAGCATCCAAAAGGGGCAGAAGAGATTGAACAAGCTTAGCCGCTCTGGCATCTGAGGGCGTGAGCTGCGGGCTGTCTGTTTCCACATTGCCACCTCCCTCTTTGCTGTGCTCTTCATGCCCAGGGGAGGCACCTAACACGCATCCAGTAACTGTGCTGGTTGAGAATAGATGGTTGGCTCTCCATATCTACCATAGGCGATTCAGTCTCCACGTCTACTGCACACAGTAGGCTGTCCATGTCTACTGCACACAGTAGGCTGTCCATGTCTACTGTACAGTTTGCCCTCCATATCTACTGTACACAGTTGGCTCTACATGTCTACTGTATACAGCCGGCTCTCCATATCTACTATAGGTGATTGAATCTCCATGTCTACTGTAGACAGCTGGCCCTCCATGTTTGTTGTATACAGTTTGCCCTCCATATCGACTGTACAGTTGGCTTTCCATATCTACTGTATACAGTAGGCTGTCCGTATCTACTGTAGACAGTTGGCTCTATATGTCTACTGTATACAGTTGACTCTCCATGTTTACTGTGTACAGTTGACTCTCCATGTCTACCATTTCCATGGCAACAGATTCAACCAAAGATCAAATATATTTTTTAATTGTGTCTATACTGAACTTGCGTGCACATTTTTTTCTTGTCATTATTCCCTACTAAGCAATACAGGAGGTCCTGAAAAGCCTTATGGAAAACGTGTGTTATGAGACAACTTTGCATGTGGGGCAGGCATAGTTTTGGCACAGCCGTTAGGCTGATGCTTGGGATCTTTGCATCACATACTGGAGTGTCTGAGTTCAACCCCTGGCTATTCCAGTTCCCGTCCAGATTCCTGCTGGTGTACACCCTGGGAGGCAGTAGATGATGGCTCACATATTGGGTCCCCGCTACCCATGTGTGAGATGTTGGTTAAGTCCCTGGCTCCTGGCATGGGCCTGGCCCAGCCTGGCTGTTGGTGGGCATTTGGAGGGTGACTCAGCAGATAGGAGATCTCGCTCTCGCTCTCTATCTTGCTGACTTTCAAATAAAATGAAATTGACTAATTAAAAGAAAAAATCTTGCATGAATTCAGAATTCTTTGCACCAAAATAAAATTATCTTCTAATTCCATTTTTCCATAAACACAGCCCTCTTATAACTTAACAGCTATCCACATAGCACTTACATTGAATTATGGGTATTATTAGTGATCTAGAAAGGATGTAAAGGATACGAGAGGGTGTTTGTAAGTTATATGTACATTCGGGAATTCATGGGGGCCCCGAAGCCGATCCCAGTGGCTGCTGGGAGACAGCCCTACACTACCAGCAGGGTGGGTGCTACACAGCAACCCATGCTGCAGAACGAGAGGGCAGAGGGGATGAGGATGGCCCGCTGGCTGCAGAACTCTGCGGGTGGAATCCAGGACCCTCGTCCCTGGAGATGGAGCCTCCTCACTTCTGGGAAGAGGCCCCACCCCGAGGTCCGTCCCGTGCCCTCCTGTAGCACCCGGGTCTGAGTGCACAGCTTTCCTACCTGCACTCTGCATGTTCCCTGGGACCAGAGAGAACTCGTTCCATGCCATCCCGTGCCTTTGCTGGATTTTGCCAGAGGGCGGTGCTGCCCCTTGGTCTCTGTGTGGCACACACCCTGATGTAGCCAGCAGAAGAGGCCCCCACACGGCAGGTGCAGGCCTGGGATGGGAAGGCTCGTGTGCACAGCTCACTGATGGTGACGGGGTTCCCTAGGCCTTGTCACCGAGTAACAGGATCCCCGGGATTACGTGTGAAGATTTCAGAGCTTGGTCGTCTTGTTCTCTTGCGATGCCAAGCTCATAAATGCAATCATTAAAGCTCCTCTCACACTCAGAGTGAATGACTCCAATTGTATTTTATGGTAGCTTCCATTTCAAAAAAATCTGCGCCCCTGCCAAAAACATCACACTTTGCCTGCTCTGACGGTAGCGAAGGAAGAAAAAGCCCCACCGGCAGCTCCACTTGGCTGTGGCCTGTGGGCCTTGGATCTGCCGCCGTTCAGACAGACATCCCCGCATGCCCGGCCTCCAGACATAAACAGCGCCTCAGGCAGCGCCAGGTGGGTTGGGCAGAGCACACAGACCTGCCAGCACCCGGGGCACTGTAGCGTTAGCATCCAGGGCCTCCCCGTGTGCGTCTCTTTTTGCACCTGACCTGAAATGCCTCCTCTGTGCAGCTGGGGAAGCTGTCTGGACCCGGCAGAATATTTAGTAAGAAGATCTGGAAGCTGATGAATCAGGAAGCCCTGACTGAGATGCGGGACCAAGAGCCAGGCGTGAAGCCAGAGACTATTAGCAAGCAAGGTTGTGGTTTAGAAGTCATAGGGAGCCAGGTTAGGGGAGCTCGAGAGCTTAGAGCACTTGGTGACGGAAGGCAAGCAGGGACAGGCACAGGTAACACGGAGGAGGCTGGTGAGGGTGTGGCCTCATGCTGTTGGCATTGGCCCTGTGGCTGTACCAGAAGCAGTCTGGGGACGGCGACAGGGCAGCTCTGTTGCCCCAGACGTGGCCCCGGGACATTTGCTGAGCGTGTACTTACAGAAGTGCTGATCTTGGCTGTTCGCATGCTTATTCCTTGTCCATCAAGCAGCCTTATAGTATCTTGCAGCCCTGGTCCAGAATACAGGTTCCCGCCACAGCTCCAGGTTCAGGGTGCTGCTTGCCCCTCGGTTGCTGTTGCGTGGTCTGCCCCGGCAGTGTCGCAACCCATTGCCAGTCACCACCTGCATCTTGTGTCACCTGCCTCTCCCTGCCTGCCATGGAATCTTCCCTGCCTGGCCCCAGATTTTCCCATTATCTGAGCACGTCGGATCCTCTATTACTCAAATGCTACCATTTCTCAGTTTTCATAAAAATCACTTTGTGAATCAACTTGCCCAACTCCCAGCATGCCATCAAGCCATGACTGAAATGTGCCCGGTTATGCCGTTGTTTTTAGACATGCATAGTAACTTTCCAGTGACTCCTTCCCAAAGGAATGCAAGGATCCAAGGATGACACTTAAGCACTGCTAAATAGGAGGAACATTCGTCTACAAGAGGTCTTCAAAAAGTTCATGGAAAACGCACATCATGAAAAACTGTGCAATGCATGGATTTCCGCATTTCTTGCACCAAAGTCCTTTCTTATCTGTTTCGTTTTTCCACAAATACTGTGAAGCCCCCTGGTGGCCCTCAGAAGAGCCCTCCCTCGTGCAGCAGTGTGCCTCGGACCAGCAGCGGCACCTGCAGCAATGCAGAGTCTCAGGCCCTCCCACTAGGTCGGAGACTCTGGGGCTGGACCCCAGCAGCTTTTCTGGGACAGCCCCGTCTGGCCCAAGGGGGCTCACGTTCAGGTTGGGGAACGGCTGCCCTGAGGAAGCCAGGTTTCTAAGTTAAGTCCACTGGGGAGATGTGGGATCCCATTCCCCTCCAGGAACCCGCTGGTCACCAGCTCTGCCCCAAGCCCTGCCGTGCAGGGAGGCAGGCCAGGGGAAGGGAGCAGTGGCAGGTCCCCAGGCATCGCTGGAAAGAACCCAGTTACATCAACCTGCTCATCTGGGACCTGATGGCCTCTCAGGTCAGCAGTACCGGTACCAATACAGCTGGGCGGTTGGCACTGGGAAAACCCAGCTCTTGTTCTGAACGCGTTCACTTTAAGGAAAGAAATGGAAGTGGTCAGTAAATACCCGAGGTTTACTGTAACTTAGGTTATCTTGCAGAACTCAGATTTCTTTTGCTTTTTCTTTTAACATGTTTGTCTGTTTGCTGATTTATTTATTTGAAAAGCAGAGGTGGAAACAGAAGGCGAGGTCTTCTGTCTACTGGTTTGCCCCCCAGATGGCCACGACAGCCAGAGCTGGGCTGGTCAGGAGCCAGGAGTTTCTTCTGAGTCTCCCACATGGGTGATGGGGGCCCAAATATGGGGCCATCCTCACTGCTCTCCTAGGCACATAAGCAGGGACCTGGATCAGAAGTAGAGCAGCCTGGACTCCAGCCTGCACCCATATGGAATTCCATTGCTGCGGGCTACAGCCTTACCTGCTATGCCATAACGCTACCCCTCATTTTTTTTTTTTTTTTTTTTTGAGAAAAGTGAATTCAAAATCTTTTTCTGCGTCTGCTGAGACATGGGCTGGATTCCTGGACTCACTCAGGGTAGAGGCTGCCTTCCTTGGCTCTCAGAGCTAACTTGTTTGACAAGGTTTGTGATGTGGGGGCTTCCTTTGGACCAGGTGTCCCCAGCCCTGCCAGAATGAGCCCTGGCCTCCCCACCCCAGCCCAAAAGTCCATGTGGTCTGTGCCATGTGTTGAGGCTGTTGGTTGCTCCAGCCAGGATACAGGTGACGGCACCGCCCAGAGCGACACTGACGCGTGGACTTGAGGCAACACGATGTGCGGCCGGGGCAGCAGGCTCACTGGCGGCCCAGGTTCCCTGCCCCCGGCAGCGCAGGCGCAACAATGGGGTCTCCAGGGCGCTCTGCCGCCTTGGGCCCCGCTTCTCCATGGCAAGCGCTCAGAAACGCACTGGGTGGTTCTGTGGGTACAGAGGCTGAATTGTGTCCACTGTTTTTCTTGCTGAGTTTAAGAGAAATTAAATTCTTCTTCCCCTGGGCATCTGAAAGCGGCAGCGGCCCAGACTCCGTGCCTCCCGGGCGTCCCCTTTAAGACAGTCAGAGTCTCAAACACAGAGTAACCTCAACCCTCTGGTTCTCTAGAAAATCGGCTGTGATGGTGTCATCGGGTCTGCAGCCAAAGAGGACCGGTGTGGCGTCTGCAACGGGGACGGCAAGACCTGCCGCGTGGTCAAGGGCGACTTCAGCCACTCCCGGGGCACAGGTGAGTGCTGCCCGCGGGACAGCCAGCTCGCGTGCTGTGTGCTCCCCCCTCCTGCCCCACAGCCGAGTGCTCGGGGGTCTTCTCTGCCTTTGCTGTTTGAGGTCCAGGTGAGGAGTCCGCAGGTGACCCGGCACTTCCCTTTCGCTTCCAAAAGACAAAGGGGACGTTTTGGCAGGGGTGATGTCTTCATGTCCCTAGAAGTGACAGGTTGCCGGGGTTTGAACGGACAGGAAGTTCACTGCTGTGTAGCGGTGACCCCATGCGGCCTCTCTGTGCTGTGGTCAAGTATGACAACATCCTCTCCGAGCCAAAGCCAATGTCTTTCTCTCGGTCAAGAATGATCTTTTCCTGGAGGCGTCCGTCTGTGTGGTGGCAAAAGCTGCCCCCGGCGTTTCTCGGGCACGGCGTTCAGACGCTGCGTGCGGTCCCAGCGGAGATGTGCTTGGTGTGGGGCTCCGCCCTCGCTTGCCCAGGTGGGTGCTGAGTGGAATCGGTGGGAGAGTCGTGCAGGGAGACGTGGAAACACACCAAGTCCGTCTCTCGCTGATGCTGTATGACTGCTGATTGCTGGAAAGACACACGGCGGAACGAAACCCCCGTGGGAGTGAGAACAGATGGGGGGGGATGGAGACTGTGGAGGGGAGTGGTCCCACGGTGCGGGGCGGGGTCTTCTCCTCCGACACACCCGCACCTGCCAGGGGATGCTCAGCTGTGCAGGAGAGCTGCCCACACTTGGCGCCTTCCTGCCCAGGCCAGCCCGTTCCCTAGAGGCCTTTGGGCACTGGGTAAGGCCCCCAGCCAACAGCCCGTGGCCTTGGTTTTGACCCACTTACGCTGACCTCTTATCTGAGGGTCAGCTGAGGCACATCAAGCCGCTCAGGCTCCCCAGGCCGTGAGGCCTTTTCCATCAGACCCAGGACAACCTTCAGGGATAAACCTAAAATGAGGAACGCACACGGTCTGTGACGTACTATGGAGCAGCTCATGATTTTTTGACTTTAGGATGGTGCAAAAGCTGTACTCAGTGGGAAATATGCTTCAGAATTGGGATTTTGGTCTTTTCCTGGGTTAGCAACACTGCTCCATGGTTCTCCCTAGCAGTGCTAGGTAGTGGCTGTGAGTGCAGCTTCCAGGCAGCCCCGTTGTCACCAGGGGGACCACTGATTCTGCAGGATGCTGTGTTGCTGAGGTTAGGTGTATTAGTATGTTTTCAATTGATGATTGTTTAATATTTAATTTTCTTTTTATTTGAGAGGCCTAGAGAGAGAGTGTGTGTGTGACGGTGAGAGAGCACACACTCCCATCTGCTAGCTCACTTTCCAGATGCCTGTCATGGCTGGGCTGGCATCAGGCCAGAGCTAGAAGTGGGGAACTCAACCCAGGTCCCCCACGTAGGCGGTGGGGACCCAGTTAACTGAGCCATCCCCGCTGCGTCCCAGGGTGCGCACTGGTAGGGAGCTGCTGTTAGGACACAGAGCGGGATCCGAACCCAGGTTTCCCAGTGTGGGATGAGGAGCCTTAACCACCGAGCTAAACCCTGCCCCCGTTTATAGAATGTTCAACTCCTGGTGGGTTTTCAGTAGCCACCCGATCGTAGCTCAAGGTACGTCTGTGTTTCATAAACAGCTTCTGCAGACAGAGAAAACATAAACTCACACAAGAGACTTTTGAAGCATTTTGTGATTGGTTTACAGAAAAAGAGCTTTGAATTTTTCCCCATTTATTTCACGCGACCTGGGGAGAGTCCCAGCGCACGTAGCCAGAGCTTTACTTCCACTCCATCTTGGGCCCTTGTCACAAGGTGAGAAATACCTAAAACGGGAATCGTCTTCTACATTCTTAGGGAATTCTCGTTCATGCCTGGCCAGCGTAGTGACACCTGGTGCCTGCGTCATGGCAGGTGCCCTGGGACTTGGTGACGGGGTGCCAGCCCCTCCTGGCCACTCTTCCATCAACCCGGGCGTCACTTGAGCTCAGGGTGAGGGCAGGAGGTGAGGCAGGCTCCTTGGTTTGCGGGCAGGGGGCCTGCCTTCGCCCCAGCGGTGTGCTCTTGAATCGGCTGCTGCACCGTGAAGAGAGAAGCTCAGAAGGAAAAGTGAGCGGCGCCGGGCTCTGCAGCGCCCGCCCTGTCGGAGCGCTCACCCGCGGGGCCTCGCCTGAGCCCTGCGTCTGCCCTGAGTGCCCACCCTTGCTGGGAGTGGAGGGCACGCAAGACGAGATGGAGAGCAGACACTGTGGGGCGTCAGCTGGGCCGAAGTTGGCCATGACAGTGAGCGTGGTGGCCAGGCGATGGCTGCAAATGCACCTGACGAGGAGTGTGGGCTGTCCATGCAGCCAGTCTGTGGCTCGGATTCGGCAGGCTGCCCAGCGACCCACAGGGAGCAGGAGGCCACACCATGGCGTGCACGTGGGAAAAAGACTCCCAGATCCTGAGCTGCTCCTGTCTCAGCTGTCGGCCCTTGGCTTCCTCTGTCCTGTAATCCAGCGCTCCTCAAACTCCCCGTACGAGATGGTTTCTCCGAGGGGAAATTTGTTGCATGCAACCCAACACCGTCATCTGAAAAGCTGGCCCTCGACCTCACCCTGCGGCTCCCGGCCCGGGCTGAGGCCACGTGGGGGCTGTTCGGTGAGTGGGGTTGGCCGTTCCAAGTCAGACACAGTGGGAAGGGGGCGTGCTGGGGGATGCGGATGGCTCAGGGCTCAGGCACAGGCAGCAGCTGCCCCGGGTAGACCATGTGTGCGCTGGGGAGGTCTGTGCCATCTTCGTCAGGTGAGACATTATTTATACACACCTGGGGCTGGGGCTGGGGCTGGGCTCACCGTGCTAAGGTGTTGGCTGCCAAGCCTGAAGGATTCTGGGAAACTTTGTGATGGCTGATTGACATGTGCTTTTGTCCCCATCTTCTCCAAAACCACCTGAAAATGAGTGCAAATGAGCAGGTAAAAAGGTCTGGGGAGAACGAGGCGCCTCAGGCAGACGCCCATCGTAGACGGATCAGAATCAACCTGCTTGGCTTTTTGCAATAAACACAATGCAGACCCCTTCCTCTCCCCTCACGGTGGCCTGGCAGGGGGCTGTGCGTGCTGTGGTCACTCGTGGACCTCTGCTGACGGAGGTGAGGGACGCTGAAGGTCTGCCAGCCGCCACAGAAGAGACACTGTCGGAGTGAGTCCCTGGTCACACACTCCTGCCTGGTTTCCAGAAAGAGGCCTGCAGGTACACGGTGTCCAGCAGCAAGGTCTCTGCCTGCCCCCAGCTGGAGGCCAGCCCCACACTGAGCAGAAAGAACCGCCTGGGCACCCTGGAAAGAGAATCAGCCGCAGGAACGGGCAAAGACCCAGGTAACCTGAGGACATGACCGTGGGAAGAGCAGGTGACTCAAACCACAGGAGGTCAGGTCCAGGGAGAGTGACAGTGGCGTCGAGTTGATACAACGAGAATCATGAGAACAAGAAGGAGATCTCAGGAATTTGAAATACGACTGTTAGATTCAAACCGACTGTTAGATTCAAACCAACTGTTAGATTCAAACCGTGGGGTAAGAGGCACCGTAAACAAAGACACAGACACAAGCGATAGACTGAGACAAAAACATTGCAGCATGTCTGGTAAGAGTGTGAGTCCAAAATATATCAAATAGTATGAATGCATTTGTGTATTAAAATATATTTTAAAAACTCTGACGTCGATTAAATGAAAGCAAAACATAGGAAAACGAGGAACGTTTAGGAGGAAGGCCATTAACTGAAGAGGAGAAGCAAATGGCCAGGGTGTGCTATGGTGAGCGTCATTGGTAAAATTAAATCTGTGACGTAACACTTCATGACCTTAAGATGACTGATTATTTCAAGTATTTAGAAGCCTGAGAGTAAACACATACTCTTCCCAACGCTGGTTGGCTTATGACAAAAATTCATCAAAAATGCATACTATGAGAAAAGTATGCATGGTTTGCAAAAATGTCTTGCACCAAAATGAACTCATCTTTTAATCTCATTCTTCTATGGACTTTTTGAAGTCACCCCATCTTCACTGAAGCGTTATAGAGGGCAACCCATCAGTACCTTTCACAACTAAACAGCTCAAAAACAATTAAACAGCTCATGGGTTTGACTTGACTGCTCTACAGAGGTGACTTGGAAAGACATCACCCATATGCACAAGAAGATGTACAAAGCTGTTCATTGCAGTACTGTTTGGGCACTGTTTTAGTATATTTATAAAGATACAATTTACAAGCCGTAAAGTTAACCCCGTTTAAATATACAGTTTGGTGGGTTAAGCGCCAATCAGTGAACAAAGCTGTCTAACCACATCACAGTCCTCCTACACCCGTCACTCCAGCCCCAGGAACTACAGATCTGGTTTCTGCATCTGTATTTGCCTGTGAGCTGGACAATTTGTAGAAATGGAATCCTGCAGCGCGTGGCCCTTTGTGACTGGCTACTTTCAAGAGTCATCCATGTCATAGCGTGTGTCAGGGTTGCATTCTTTGTATTGCCCAATACTATTCCATTGTTTGAATAGACCCCTTTTTTTTCTAACACATTCATTGGTGGGTGAGTGTTGGGTTGTTTCCCCCTTTAGGGTACTGTGAATAGTGTGGGTGCAAACTTTTGTTTACACATTTTGGGTAGACAGAGGTTTCCGTTCGTTTCTCTTGTACGCATACCTGTTGGTGGAATTGCCGGGTCACACGGTCGGCTGCACCCGTCTGCATTTCTCCGCACGGAGCCAAGGTTCTGATTTCTCCACGTTCTCTCCAACCTTCTCCTTCCCCTGTTACACCTCGCTAGGTAGGAAGTGGTGCCTCCTCGTGGTGGTTTTGCTTTGCGTTTCCCTGGTGACCGATGACACCAGGCGTCTTGTTGAGTGCTTGTTGAGCATGGGCGTGCTTTCTTTGGGAGAAATCCTATTGAAATTCTTTGCCCATGTTTAGCTTGTGTTCTTTGTCATTTTCTTACTGAGTTAAAAGCATTCTTTATATTCTGGATTCAGTGCTTTTAGCAGGTAGATGACCTGGAGGTATTTTTTCCCAGTGAATGTGTTGGTCGTCTGTTCACTGTCTTGATGGTATCCTTTGAAGCATAGAGTTTTTGGGTTTTTTGTTTGTTTGTTTGTTTGTTTGTTTGTTTTTTTGGACAGGCAGAGTGGACAGTGAGAGAGAGAGACAGAGAGAAAGGTCTTCCTTTGCCATTGGTTCACCCTCCAATGGCTGCCACGGCCAGCACGCTGCGGCCGGTGCACCACGCTGATCCCAAGGCAGGAGCCAGGTGCTTCTCCTGGTCTCCCATGGGGTGCAGGGCCCAAGCACTTGGGCCATCCTCCACTGCACTCCCTGGCCACAGCAGAGAGCTGGCCTGGAAGAGGGGCAACCAGGACAGAATACGGTGCGCCGACCGGGACTAGAACCCGGTGTGCCGGCGCCGCTAGGCGGAGGATTAGCCTAGTGAGCCACGGCGCCAGCCAAGCATAGAGTTTTAAACTTTGATGTAATCCAGTCTGTCTGTTCATTCTAGTGCTTGTGCATTGGGTGTCATTTTTTAAAAAGCCATCGCCTAATGCTGGCTTATAAAGACCCCCATGTCCTAAGTGTTATCTCTTACACTTAGATCTGATCCATTCTGAGTAAATTGTTTTTCCTGGTATGATCTAAGATAGGAGTTCAACTTCATTCCTCTCCGCATGGATATCTGATTATCCCAAGAACGGAATGACTCACAGAGCAGCCCGGGCGAAGTGAGGGTAACTCCACGATTTCATTCAAGGATGAGGACAGTGAGCAGTAGTGTTTTTTATTTTATTATATTTCAGGAAGTATAATTCTCACAAGCCCGTCTCAAAAGGAACACACTTGGTACAGTAATTTATTAAAGAAACTGGCCAAAAAGAAAAAAAACCATGTAGCAGACATTAAATCTGTTCTCATGACGAAGACTAAAGCAGCTGCAGGAACAGCTTCAGCCAAAGGCAAGTGTGAGAGACGGATGGAGCGTGGAAATGAGGTCATTAGAGTCCACGTGGACGATCGGAAGGTCGGACGCTGTAAAACCGCCGATTTCCTCCTTTCAATACCCAAGGACCAGAATACCTCAGCTGAAAACTCACGTGCAGTGTCGATGTAAAGCTTACTTGACAACAGTAGAAGGAGACAGAAGTGATAATTGGCTGAAATTTATTACTAGAGGAGAGGACAAAGAAGTACAACCAACTGTGTACAGCACCACTGTTTGCCCACCTAAGGGACAAAAATGGGGTGGAAAGTATAAAAATGGAAGCTGGCGCTGTGGCATAGTGGGTAAAGCCGCTGCCTGTAGTGCCGGCATCCCATATGGGCACCAGTTGAAGTCCCGGCTGCTCCCCTTCCCATCTAGCTCTTTATGCACTGGGAAAGCAGTAGGAGATGGCCCAAGTCCTTGGATCCCTGCACCCACGTGGGAGACCCAGAGGAGGCTCCTGGCTCTTGGCTTCAGATCGGCACAGCTCTGGCCGTTGCCACCAATTGGGGAGTGACTCAGTGGTTGGAAGACCTCTCTCTCCTCTCTCTCTCTCTCTGTGTGTCTCTCTATCTGCCTCTCCTTCTCTCTCTGTGTAACTCTTTCAAATAAATAAATGAATCTTTAAGAAAAAAAGTACAAATAGGTAGAATAATAAAGAATAGGGAAATAAAGTATATAAGTAAATAAATCTTAAGAGATTACTTGCTCAACTCTGTAAATAAGTTTAAAAGCTATTTGAAGTAAATGATTGAAAAAATAAACTCCTAGTTGTGACTACATAATATTGAAAATCAGTGCAGATAAATTATTATAGAAGAAACATAGAAACACTTTTTATTAATGCAAGAATAATGTTGATACTAAAATCCATTCCAACAAAGAAAGCACAAAAATAATTGCTATTTTTGCAAATAAGGTTTCAGAAGTTCTATTGGCAAATAAAATTAAGCAGTATGCTAGGGTTTTGTTACTATTGCCAAATACTGTTTATTCTGGGCCTGTGGAGATGGTTTGCAATTAGGAAATATATTAACATAATGATGTCATGAACAGAGCAAGGGAAAAATAATTATGTGCTTAGATGCTGAGGAAGTGTATGGTAAAATTTAATTTAATTCCTAATAAAGCTCTTAAAATAATAAACACAGCTTCCTGAATTTAATGACGTCATACATACTATAAATTATGATATCATGCTGTATCATCTACACAGCCTGAACCATGTTCTGTTCAAAAGCCAAATACCATCAGCATCAGAAACAAAACAAGGACATCCAGTCTCACCAGGAATATTTATGGCACTCACTGATGCATCTGCATTCTTCCAGAAAAGAAAAACAAGACGATAACATTTGAAAAGAGTAAAATTATTCTGCGGCAGGGGATATTGTTATCCATCTTGAAAACCTAAGACGATCGACCTTGAAGTTCTTACAGATTGTAAGATTGTGTTGACCAGATGCAACATTGATGCACAAAACCCATAGCGTCTTGGTACAAATCAGTAAACTGGGGGAAGATAAATCGGGGTGCTGACGGGCCCTGAAGCGGGAAGCACAGAGCGCCTGCCGAGGTGGGGGCCGTGGACCTACAGGACACCAGGAACGGCTCAGCCGGGGAGAAAGGCCAGCCCTGGAGACGGACGGGTGCTGCAGCAGGCTGGCAGACCGTGGGTGCGGATCCTCCGAGGGTGGAAGGAAACAGTGAGCGCTAGAGGCAGGTACCCAGGATGCCCAGGGTGAGTGAAGACATGTCCAGATAACACGATCAGAGAGGCTCTACGGCAGCCGGGAGACCTGCACTCAGATGGCTCTCGTGGGCTAAGGAAGGACAGTATCCCAGGAGCACGCCCCGATGTGGAAGGGCGTGGTGGAGTGAGGAGGAAGACGGCGAATGGGATACTGGCCCCCACACTGTCTAAGCCACAATGAGCATAATCAGACTGCTTGGAGGACTTCGTATTATTTGGGAGAAAATCCGCGTGACAGCCTGAGAAGATGCACAGAGCATTTGACCAACTTCAGTGTCTTCACGGTGACAGCTCCTACCACAGCAGGATCAAAGAACTTCCGTAGCCTGGGGAATGCTAACGACCAGGGCCTCACCCACACGTCTTGTCCAGTGGAAGGCCTTTGGGAGCATTCCCACAGACGTCCAAGTAGGAAGGATGCTAAGATCTCACTTGACATACAGCGTGCATTTGTAAGTCCCAACCAGCAGCGTGAGAGGAGGAGGAAGACTGGGCAAGAAGAAGCAAACACTGACTCATTAGCTGTGGCACTGACCATCTCTGTTCCGGGCTCACGCATGGGCGGAGGAGGGCACAGGTCTCTGGGAGCCTCCCAGGCCACGTGCGACCTCTCAAGAAAGCAGGCAAACGCAGACACCCTTGGAGTTGCAGGAATGGCCAAAGGCAGTGGGAGGAAGGAATGGCGCACAGGCTGCAGATTGGTCACAGGGCAGATCTCTCAGCTTCGGCCATCCTCCCGTGGACATTCAGTGAAACGTGGACTGCAGCAAAGGGTGAAAGGGCCTCAGCAGCTGAGGGGGACCCGGGCACGCTTCCCTCAGGCCCCAGGGAGGCACCAGCACCTGCGCTCCAGGCTGCGTGGTTTCCCGGGCCTGAGGTGTCACAGGGCCCTGCACTGGGCAGCACAGACAACAGAAACTACCCCCCTTCAGCTCTTTAGTCGGAGGGCCTCGTAGCGTCCACAGGGCTGGTTCCCCTGAGGACCACGAGGGAGGCTCTGCCCCAGGCCCTTTGCCTAGCTTCTGGTGGTTTTTCTGGCCACCTTTGGTGTCCTTGGCTTGTGGGGACATCACCCACCTCCGAGTTCGCCTGCACGCCTGCGTCCACATCTCCCTTTTTATGATTATTCTCCTGTTGTACTCAGGGCTCGTCCTCCTCCATGAGCCCATCTTAACTAAAGAATCCACAAGGTCCTGTATCTAAATAAGGCCGCCTTCTAAGGCCTGCAGGCTGGGACCTCAGCATTTGCACTTCGGGGGTGGGAGGAATAGGCTTCAATCCATAACGAGCAAATGGTGTTGTCTGGGGACTAGGCAGCTCGGAGGTTCTGAGCCCACAGTCTCTGAAAGCACCCTGGGCCCGCGTGGGGAGTGGGGGTAGATCAGGTGGGGGAGGCTCTGACCCAGGGTGGAGGGTCCTCACCTGCGTGTCCTTTCTTGCCACAGGTTACATTGAAGCTGCTGTCATTCCGGCTGGAGCGCGGAGGATCCGTGTGGTTGAGGATAAGCCTGCCCACAGTTTTCTGGGTAACACATGATAATCAGATTCATTGTTTACGCTCTGCGAATTGGTTTTGGTGATTGGGCTGATGGTTCTCTCAGGTCACCCCAGCTTTCCACCTGCACTTTCACTGTCGTGTGTGAACCTTCAGAGTGGAACACACAGCACCGTCGTATTGGCCTGATATGGGGGTTGGGACAGGAATGAGCTGGGACCACTAGCCTTGGACAGGAAGAAAACTGGCAGAGAGTGGAGAAATTGGCAGGCATCCCGGTAGCATAGATTCCCGGAGTCCCCCCGGGCGAGTCCAGCCAGCTATTGCCCTGGCAGCAGCACGGGTCCATCACCCCGTCTGCAGGAACTCCCTGGGGGCTGTCAGTGGCTCTGCAGAGGACGTCCCTGCTGGAGAGAGCAGCCCTGAATCAGGTGGGAACCCACAAGGGCACTGGTTTTCACTAAGTTCTGTGCACCCAAAATTCCTAGTGGCCAACTGTTGACTCCAAGCATAAGCACCTGCGTCCACCCATAGACTTGGATCCATTCCAGGCTGTTCTTTGTTGCCTTCTGCAGCACCATGGTGAAAGTCCAGGAAGAATCCTTCCGCTAAGCCCCTTTCTGGGAGACAGGAGCCTCTGAGCATATCCCGGGCTCAGTTCCTGCCTCGTTAGAGGTCAGCCCAGCAAGGAGGCCTGGGGTGCAAGGACAGAGCACACGTGTCCTGTAGGCAGCCACGGGAGACATGGGGCTGCCTCTGGTCCAGGTCACGTGGGGTGGTACACGTGACACCCCGGGTCCCTCTGTGGGCCTAGTGCCACATCCCCATCGTGGGTTGTTGTCAAGCTAGAAGGGTCTGCTCTCAGGGTAGAGTTTCTCTGCCCGTGTGGCAGGGTGCTGTCTGAGATGAGAGAAAGGAGAGGAATGAGGGCGTGGCTTCTCTGGTTTGAAGTGCTGTAGGTGCCCACAAAGCCCTTTTATTCCAAGTCTTTGCATCACTGATAAGAAAAAAACTTACATCCCTGTCCACGCTCCCACCTTCGTGGGTGACAAAAAGCATCCAGCTTTTTCTTTGAAATGGTCTCTACTCAGAAATCTAATGAGAGACACAAAACAGACCTGAGTAGCAAGTTCACAGTGAAGGTGGCAGTCCTGCTGTTTGGGAGGAAACCCAAAGACACAGTGGGGCTCTGTGCACACCTGCCACAGGGATGCAGGAGAAGGCATAGCTCTCATCTCCAGGGGTCCCCGGCGGGTCCCCCGTGTCCCCAGACAGCTTCCATCGCCTCCACAGCCTTGTCACCTGCTGTCCCTGGCCTCCCTGAGGCTGTGACAGCTGATGGTGCTCCTGCTGTCAAGGTGGGGCCTCACTGGCCCTCAGGTCGACCTCCGTGTGGCTCTACAGCAGCTCCCCAGTGTCCTGAGTGGACACTGACCCAGGCAAGCTTGGCTGATCCGGCTGCACCCCACAGATGGAACGGTGCCTGCAAACGCTGGCTACCGCAGGGCCTTGTGCACTTCCGGCACCTTCTCGCTCTCTAGTCCACCCGAGGAAGGTGGGTCAGCTTCACCAGCATTCGCATCGGAAGCCGAGTCCAGCTGAGCACCGCCACGCTCACTTACGGGGAGCACACTGGGTTAGTGGCTGGGCCTGGCCCCCCACTCACTGAGCAGCCTGCAGTTTGTGGGGCCTCCCAGAAAAGCTACCAGGTGCTCAGTCACTGTCATGGCCAACGGAAGTGTGCGTGCTGGGGAGTGCACGTGACCTCTGCCCCTTGTCCCTTCACCGTGTGCATTCCAGAGAGGCCAACCCCTGTCCCCAGGAGGCTGGCTCCCCAGAAGCACTGTGCCTCCGTGGGAGAGTAGACTTCTTCTCCAGCCCCTTATCTCACTCAGAAAATCTTAGGCCCAGTGTCCCAGGGCCTTGCAAGTGGTCAAGAGTGAGCCTGAAGGTGGTCCACACTCGCTGTTTCTGAAGTGAGTTCAAGCACTCGGGGCTGGGTGCTTGGGAAGTCAACCCCGAGGAGCTGAATCACTCTCCAATTTGCTGGGAGCACTTCCTGAGCAACCTGCCCCGCCTGCCTCCCTCCAGCCCGCGCCGGCTGGCTTGCGGCTAGAACCACCTGGAACAGGAAACGCCTCTGCATTCTCTCCGTGGCTGAGCGCAGACTCCGAGCGGGAGTGGAAAGAGCTGACTCGCTGCCCGGACTAGAAGCCGGCTGACCGTGGGTCAGGTCTTCCAGCTGAAAGAGAGAGAGGGAGATGTCCGCATGGAGAGGCATAGGCCAGGACGGACAGGAACGAGGCGCACGCAGCCCCGGGGGGCAAGCCAGTCGGGCTTTGCTCTGCCGCGGTTGCAAAGGGAAGTGAGCCCGCTCGCCAGCGGCTGAGAGGCTGCTGAGCGAGCTCCACGCCCGCACACGCTCCCTGATGGTGGACGCTGGTTTAGAGCATCCAGCCTCTGGCCCAGGCGGGACCACAAGGGCCAGCCTTCCTCACTGGCGAATCTGCGCTTCAGACATCATAGATGGAGAGCCGAATCCCGCGGGGATTCCTGTGTTCTCAGCCTCGTTATTTGTCTGTAAGATCAAAGCATTTTTACCACCGGACTGACCCGGCGTGTCCTCTCTGAACGCACAGTTTTAAGAAGCAACCTCAGGATGCGTGTACGGGGCGCTCGCTGGCCCTGAGGACCGAGCCCCAGGGAGGGGCCTCTTCCCGAGAACGCAGCTGCCAGCAGGTGCGAGAGCAGCCGGAGCGCCCGCGCTTCTGTCTCTGGGGCTGCCGGCCCCATGAAGCCATTGTGCGTGTTGGACCCCTCGCTGGACCCCCCTGTCTGCTATGCTGTCCCACCTGGTCCTGAGGCTGAGGCCTCACCCTTTGCGAGGGGCTGTCACCCACAGCAAGTTCCACTGTCCTGGCCTGCAGGGCGGCAACTTGGAAATTTTCAGTCTTGCCAAGTTACACCAAAGTCGAAGAAGCGGGAGCCGACCCTGCGCCTCTCGGAACCGCCGGTCTCCGCTCCGAGCCCTGCCTCTACGTCTTCATGCTTCTGAGAGGTGCACGGACGAGGGTCCTCCAGCAGCCCCGAGACGGGGCCAGGCACAGGGGATGCTGCAAATGCAGGGCCCATGTGCTGGCAGCTGCTGGGGAGGGAGCAGCCAGCAGTGCTGGGGGTGCAGTGTGTGTTCTTCTGGGCGCCCTAAGCACCGCCCCACCTCCGGCCCACTCCCTCCCCAGCCACGTTGTGATGGTGCATGCTTTGCGCCCCTCTGCAGCTCTGCCCGGCTCCTCTAGAGCGTGAAGACCTGCTCGGGACTCCTGAGTAGCCCGTGAGAACCCAGTGCGCACAGACCTCACCTGCTGCTTGTTCACACGTGTCGGGTGGAGAACTTGAGTCCATGTGGCAAAGGGCTTCACACCTCAGGGAGCACCAGGCACCGTAAATCCGAGCTGGTGGTCACCCGTGTCCCACCCCCCCCCCAGCTGGTGTGTTCCTGGCTGCCATCAGCGGCTGACCGAGGTTAGCCCATAGCCACAGCCTCTCTCCCGATTCCTTGACCACACCCTGTAACTCCTCCAAGGGCTCCCTGACCCACGCCACGAGCCAATTCCTGAAGACTCGCCCCTCCTGCGCTGAGGACAAGGACAGTGAGATCCCGCTGTGGTGGGCAGAGGGTGGCACAGCCCAGGCTGCAGGCGGCCCGACCTCCACGTTCAGTGGCAGTAGCTGCTGTGCCTCCCCGGGCCGTTGTGCAGAGACCCTGCGCGTGGCTTTTGAACGGCCGCCGGGTGCACCCCCTGTCGTGTTCCAGGCCTTTCTACTCTTGACTCCAGTGTGTGCAGTGCAGCAGGTGACTTCGATGCTTCCACAGGGCCGAGCAGGTGCGACACGCAAGGCCAGGTGGGAGCGTGACACCTGGGCGGGAAGACAGTGCTGCGAAGGAGCAGAGTGAGGGCCTGCACCTCGGGGGAGCTGCTGGGGGCATTTCTTGGACCCCAAAGCAGTGATTTTCCCCTCCGACTTCTTTGCCCTCGTCACGATTCCTTTTTTTTAAAGACCAAACTCCACAGCACAGTGTGAGTGCTGCACCCGGGGGCTGAAAACCACGTCATAGCGAAGTCTCTCGCCGTCCTGGCGTCCCTCCCCCTGGGGGCTTCCCGCCACACGCAGGCTGACCCAGGCTCACGCCAGGCTCTGGGCCACACTGTGGGAAGACAGCTGGCTCTCCTCAAGGTGACGCCAAGCCCCGATGTCAGAGTTGGAGGACTGGGACGAGACGCGTTCTCCAGGGAAACCCTGGATGCTGTGCCCTGGAGACCTAGGTGCCAGGTGGCAGGCGGTGGGGGTTCACAGGGAGCACAAAGCAGGAACAGGTCAGGGCCCACCTCCCAGACGCTCGGCCACGGCCCAGGGCAGTCAGCTCGGGTCCACTCGACGCACGTGGCTGATGGAGCTGCCTGGCTCCATGGGTGGGCCGAGGCAGGGAGGGCTGCCACCCCACGCCCCTCTGCGCTTTGTGGGGGGAGTGGGTTCTCAGGAATGGGTGCGGCGTGGCAGAAACTCTTGGCCCGACTCTGGCTGCTGCGTGTGGGGCCCCCCCAGTGCCCAGGCATCCTGGCCCCCGGCCCATGGCACTGCCCTCTTCCCCATCTCCCCGCTTCACCTCTCGCCGCCTGTTCCCAGCCAGAGCTCTGCAAAGCTGTTCCTCCCCCTTCCTCTTATTTCTCCCCACAAGGCAGAAACACCCCCAGCCCCTCTCCTCCCTGCTTGTCTTGCAAGCTCGGCTAGGGTGCCTCTTCCAGGAAGCCTTCCCAGCTTCTCCCATTCCTGCTCCCCACACACACCCCGGGGCCCTGGAAGCAGCTGAAGAACTGGCATCAGGCGTGTGTCTGTCTTCCTTCTGGAAGACTGTGAGCTCCATGCGCGCAGGGGCTGCGTGTGTCTCCAGCCCCCAGCTCAGAGACCCTCAGCCAGGCACGCACCTGCTGTGCCACGGGCTGCCCTGCTGGGGTTTCTGTGCATGTCTTAGAGGGCTCTGGCCCCTCCTCCTTTCTGGATGCTTCTTCCCACCCCACCCCTCCCCCATTCCTGAGACCAGATGCCCACATGCATATGCAAGAGATGGTTTTCCAAACCAGCAAGCACCCTGCAGCCGGCACGTGGATTCCCCAGTGGTTAATGCGACCAAATCTGTTCAGGTGATGAGCTCCCTGGAAACTAAGGTTTTCTATAAGGACACAGAACGTGAGACCTAAAGCTTGTTCTCTTTAAAAACAGGCCTTACATTTGCACGTTTCAGCATTCTGCATAAACAGCTGGACTGACGCTGTAGCCCAAAGAAGGGGGAATGGGGGATGGTCGTGGGGACAGGTGCGCTGGGCTTGGTCCGCAGCCAGGTGCTCGTCTGTGGGGGGAGAAAAGTCACCCCAAGGGCTCTGCCTCAGTAAGCAGCATGCAGCGGCTGGGGCGGAGGCTGGGCTCACCGAGTGTAGACTGAGTGGGACTGGGGGCTCCGGCTGTGGGGGACCAAGGGCCCTGGGGTCTCACTCTGCACAAGACTCTGGGACCTGGCTCTCATTTCTTGTCCTTTGCAACTTTCCCCTAAAGGCCAGAGTAGCTTCTCATTAGTTTTTTTTTTTTTTTAAATAAGAACAAAAACCAGAATTTCACTTCAGGGTAACGGCATGCACTCTCCTGCCCGGGGGAGAGGCAGAGGAAGCTGCAGGTGGGCACCGCACTGTCAGGCCGCACCTGTGCCGAGAGCCAGGCAGCAACACCGGGACTCCTGTCCCCTGTATTTCATGGGGGCAGAGGTTGAGCAAGCACATGGGTGAGACGGAAGCCCACAGATCCGGGGTGTGGGAGCTGCCCCCACCCCACTCCTGCCCACCCTGCCCCCACACAGCTGCCCAGTGTGACAGCCACACGGGGGGATGCAGCTGGGGTCCTCAGAGACCTTGGAGTTAGACACCCTGTTTCAAAAGCTCCATGAGTAAAACAAATGGATGCGTTTTGCCAGAGCAACAGAACCTGTTTCTGTAGCCTTGGACACATTAGAATAGAATTAATCCAGCAGGTGGAAAAGCGTCTACTGGGGGGATTGGCAAAGTTCCACTGGGCTGTGCTTGTCTCCCTTGCCCCTTGCTTTTTTCCCCCAAAAGAAACCTTTTATTTAATGAGTACAAATTTCATAAGCATAACTTTGGGAATACAGTGATTCTTCCCACCATACCCACCCCCCCACTCCTACCCCACCCCTCCTCCTCCTTTCCCTCCCTCTCCTACTCCCAGTCCCATTCTCCATTAAGATTCATTCTTAATTAACTTTATACACAGAAGACCAATTCTATACTAAGTAAAGATTTCAACAGTTTGCACACAAACACACACACACACACACACACAACTGAGAACAAGTTTTACAGTTAGTTCTCATAATATATCTCATTGAGGACAGAAGTCCTGCATGGGAAGTAAGTGCACCGTGACTCCTGTTGTTAATTTAACAATACTCTTATGTATGATGTCAGTGATCACCTGAGGCTCTTGACATGAGCTACCAAGGCTATGGAAGCCTTTTGAGCCCACAAACTCCGAGAGTATTTAGACAGGGCCATAGCAAAGTGAAAGTTCTCTCCTCCCTTAAGAGAAAAGTACATCCTTCTTTGATGGCCACTTCTTTCCACTGGGGTCTCCCTCACAGAGATACTTCATGTAAAACATTTTTTATTTGCCACAGTGTTTTGGCTTTCCATGCCTGAAATGCTCTCACGGACTTTTCAGCCAGACCAGAATGCCTTAAGGGCTGATTCTGAGTTCAGAGTATGATTTAAACGATTGTCATTCTATGAGTCTGCTGTGTGGACTGCTTCCCGTGTTGGAACATTATCTCCTTTTTAGTTCTATCTATTGTTATTACCAGATACTTGGTCTTATTTATATGATCCCTTTAACAGTTTCCTAGCTATATGATCACTTTAACACTTACTATGGTCACTTTAACACTTAAGGTGATATTCTTGGGGCCGGTGCCATGGCTCACTTGGTTAATCCTCTGCCTGCGGTGCCAACATCCCATGTGGGCGCCAGATTCTAGTTCCAGTTGCTCCTCTTCCAGTCCAGCTCTCTGCTGTGGCCAGGAAGGAAGGCAGTAGAAGACAGCCCAAGTACTTGGGCCCCTGCACCAGCACGGGAGACCAGGAGAAGCACCTGGCTCCTGGCTTCAGATTGGCACAGCTCCAGCCGAAGCAGCCATTTGAGGGTTGAACAAACGGAAGAAAGACCTCTCTCTCTCTCTCTCTCTCTCTATCTGTCAAATAAGGGAAAAAAAGGGATGGTATTCTTACCACCCAGCTTAAAGGGATTTGGGGTCCCATGGCAAATTTTTAAACTGTATCCTTAGAAGTAAGTCCATAGGAATGTATGCAGAACTATACAGCTTTACAGTTACAAACTTCCTCCTCCCTCTCTTACTCCCACTCTTATTTTTTACTGAGATCTATTTTCTTTTGTTAAAATTTATTTTATTTATTTATTTGAAAGACAGAGTTACAGAGAGAGAGGTCTTCCATCTGCTGGTTCACGCCCCAAATGGCTGCGATGGCTGGAGCTGAATCGATCCAAACCAGGACCTTCTTCTGGGTCTCCCACGTGGGTGCAGGGGCCCAAGGACCTGGACCATCTTCCACTGCTTTCCCAGGCCACAGCAGAGAGCTGGATTGGAAGTGGAGCAGCCGGGACTCGAACCAGCGCCCATATGGGATGCCAGCACTTCAGGCCGGGACTTTAACCTGCTGCGCCACAGTGCTGGCCCCTGAGATCTGTTTTCAATTGAGTTTATACACATACGATTAACTCTGTTAAGTAAAGAGTTCAACAAATAGTATGAAGAAGAGAAACACAGGAGCTGCCATGGGGCTGGAAGGTGACGCCACCGGTGATGCCACCGTCCTGGCAGCCCTCCCGGGTCTCCCTGTGAGCCAGGGCTCTGTTCTCAGTGCACGGAAAGCCCCCTCCTCACATGTCATGCCTCCCTCTCAGCCACTCGGGACCTCCCGGATTCTGCTTAAAGACAGGCGGGGCCCCCTGACTCGCCGACTTGCAATTTTCTCTAGCTCTCAAGGACTCTGGCGAGAGATCCATCAACAGCGACTGGAAGATCGAGCTGCCGGGAGAGTTCCAGGTCGCAGGCACGACAGTCCGCTACGTGCGAAGGGGCTTGTGGGAGAAGATTTCCGCCAAGGGGCCCACCAAAACGCCGCTGCACCTGATGGTAATTTCCCACGTTGTCCCGTCCTGAGATGTGCAACCCCAGCAGGCCCCCGGGGTCCATCTCGGGGTGCGTTAGGCCCCCAGCACCCACAGGGATGGGTTCCAGGACCCCTGCAGATACCCAGCTGGCAGGTGCTCAACTCCTGCCCTGCGCTCTCCCCATCTTTTCTGTCTAACCCCTCCCACCGCGTGCTTCAGCGGAAGCTTCCTTGAGTCCTCACTGGCAGAGCTGCTGTCATTTTGTGTCTTTGTTTTTAAATATTTATTTACTTATTTGAAAGAATTACAGAGAGACAGAGAGATCATCCACCCCTGGTTCACTCCCCAAATGGCTGCAACCGCTGAGGCTGGGCCAGGCTAAAGCCAGGAGCCAGGAGCTTCTTCTGGGTCTTCCACATGGGTGCAGGGGCTGAAGCACCTGGGCCATCTTCCACTGCTGTCCCAGGCTCATTAGCAGGGAGCTGGGTCAGAAGTGGAGCAGCCAGGACATGAACCAGCTCCCGTATGGGACAGCTTGACCTGCCACACCACAACGCCGACCCCTCCTATCAGTTTTGAAAAGGAACTGCCTCCAGGGAGGACGTGCTTAGCCAGGTGGGCAGTAGCCGGGGAGACTTGGCGCCATTAGGCAGACAGCCCTTCTGCTTACCAGAGGGCGGGCTGTGCAGACCAGCTGCACAGCTCTCGTGTCCAGGCTGACAATGAACTGTTGACTCCGTGCCCAAGCCGGATGAGCGCAACATCGCTCAGCTCTGCGGGTCAGCTTGCAGCAGGCATCGGGAGTGAGGAAGGAGCCTCAGGTTCCATGATCTGTTTATTCCACAGGTGCACTTGAGTCACCTGTGCAGTGGGGCCTGGCCGGGTGCCACTGTCTTATCTGTTATCTCAGACAGGACTTTGTGAGGCCACTCTTGTCCTCCTTCATCCTTTTAAACAAAGACCCTCCTCAAGGTCTAGGAATGAGCGCCCAGCTGCGGATCGCTCCCGATTATTGATTCCAAAGAGCAGGATTAACGGCAGCACGTGTGCCGGTAACAAGAGCGCGCTTCGTGCTCGGAGTCTCCGCTTGGTGATTCTTTTTCTGAGATCCTCTGTGATCTCTGGCAACCCCTGCAGCTGTGGAGGATTAGGTGACGCCCAGATTTCCTGGCCCCCACCCAGGGACGGCCCCTGGGGAGACCGACTCTGCCCGTGAGCAGCGCACTCCGCGTGGGTGACAGTGCCCGTGCATTCCTGACTCGTGCGACAGGAGCCACAGGGAAGGCTGTCAGTGCAGGTGCACTCGGCCCAGGAAATCCTCTGCAAATACCCTCCTGCACGCACGTTTCTGGGCCTCTAACACCTGCGCGTGAGCCGTTTCTCTGGGGTGAGACTGTTTCCTGCACAAAGTCAGTAGAACAGATCTCCCCACTCTAAGTTAGAAGCAGTTCTTGGGAGGAGCTGAGAGGGGGCAGGGACAAGATAAGCCCACCGCAAGCATCACCTGCACATCCGCTTTCTCCAGCAGACACCAGGATAAGCCCATTCCCCTTCTGTGCCCAGAGCTTTCGCAAGCTGAGCAGGCCGTCCCTGTTAAAGCTGAGCTATGGCCGGATCATCCAGGCCACGGCAGACCACCGGGAGCACACAGCCACCGCCTCGGCTGCACCCTCAGCCCTCAGGCAGTATCGACGGCTGTTCTTTCTGGAAGCAACACTGTCACTTCAAGTTCTAAACCTCGGAGTGAGACGCGCCCCTTGGCCTCCGTGTGGAAGCCACTGTCCTACCACTGGGGTACACGCGTGCTGGCAGAGCCAGGTGCACCCAGAGTCATGGGGACCTGACTAGAAACCAGTTACACACACACACAAACACACACACACGTTGTATGTGCCTTCAAAGTTGCATGAAATTGGTTTCATGTGGATGCTCTATTCACCTTATTCCCATACTAAGATAACAAAGATCTCCTTTAAAGATTAGTTTAAAAAAAAAGCAAAAAGAGGTGCTTGCCCAAATGCATTACTGCAAGCCTGTCTGTCTAGCTCGTAGCACCCCCACCCCACCCCACCCCTCAGCCTTGGTGGCGAGAGGTGCTCAGGAGGGAAGCTGGCTGTTGTCACCTGGCAAACATTCCACCTGGCCTGCCCCATCATGCTCTCTGTGTCCTTAGCTCCTGCTGGCCTCTTTCCCCAGCCGTCTTGAGCCAGAAGTGGATGTGCCAGCTGCTTAGACCCAGGAGCACCCACTGATTCCAGGCTTAGCCTTAGGTGCATTATCCATGGCCAGGCCTCCTGAAGCTCCTCCAGGAAGTCTTGTTTGGCACCTTCGTGTCTGCAGGAACAAAGCTGATAGTGCACCTGCTGGCCTCACAGAGCTTGGCACGTGCACGCCCAAAGTAAAGACCCACCCATTCTTTACACCCCGCGGGATTGCAGACCCAAGGGTCCCTCCCCCCACCTGCCCTCCACTCCCAGGTTTAATCACAGAGCCAGGCCTCTGCCACTCCTGGCCATGGTCATCCTGGTGTTCAGGGCAGCAGGACAACTCAGGAACCCTGCGACTCCCCACAGTTCCCGAGGCACGCTGTGTTCTGCCTTCAGGCGTGCCTGACTCTGATCATCCGATCTGTATCAGGGAAGTGAAGGGAACTAATCATTTAAAAACAATTTTTAAAGAGGAGAGACAGAGATCTTCCATCCACTGGTTCTCTCTACAGATGGCCGCAATGGCTGGGGCTGGGCCAGGCTGAAGGCAGGAGCTAGACTGAAGGCAGGAGCTAGACTGCAGGCAGGAGCTTGTTCTGGGCCTCCCACGTGGGTGCAGGGGCCCAAGGACTTAGGCCATCCTCCACTGCTTTCCCAGGAGCGTAGCAGGGAGCTGGATCAGAAGCAGAGCAGCCAGGACTTGAACTGGCGCCCAGATGGGATGCTGACAATGCAGACAGCAGCTCAACCCGCTGCAGCGCCGGCCCCGCAGTACTCATTTTCAAAGAAGTAGGGTAGCCCCGCCTGCCCCCAGGACGCCTTTCCAGGTGGCAGTGCTGCCGTTGTCTGTAAAGGCAGCTCCATGGAGGGTGGGGGCAGGGAATGTGCACTTTCCCTGCACGAGCAGCTCATGCAGTGAGCATCCAGAGGTTGCCTCCCTGCCCCCAAACGCCTCGTCTAATGGGGTCTCTGGAGTAGACAGGAGCAGAGCTTCCTGCTGGTGGTTTGCACATGCACAACTCCAAGTGGAGGCCCGGAGGACTCCAAGGCCAGGAGCCAGGAGCTCCCCAGGCTTTCGCTCCGTGTCAGCACGGCCCTTCATCTTGCTGCTGGTCCAGGTGCTGCTATTTCATGACCAGAACTACGGGATTCATTACGAATACACCGTTCCTGTAAACCACACGGCTGAGAACCAGAGTGAGCCGGCGAAGGCGCAGGACTCTCTGTTCATCTGGACCCACAGTGGCTGGGAAGGGTGCAGCGTGCAGTGTGGAGGAGGTGAGCTGCGGGGCTGGGGCACGCGGGAAGGGTGAGTTAGGGACACGCTGCTGCCTGTTTTCCCAGGGGAGCCTAGCCACATCTGGTGAGTCTCCCTGCTGGACCCCTGGGCAGGCTCATTCCCGTTCCCTCGCCACAGAGTTGAGCCCACCCACCCCCTCCATGGGGTGTGAGGTCTGACCTCTGACTTCCACGTGGCAACTTCATCCTCTTGTTAGCAACAGGTCGACCTTCAACTGTTGCTGCTTGGCAGGAGGTCACCAGATGTCTCTGCCCATTCCTAAGTATCCTTGGCTCTTGGTCATCAGAGGCAGGACATAATGGAAAGAAAATAATACTACAGGTCAGGTGCAGTGCCCCCCCCCCCGCCCCCAGCATGAGCCCTGACCACACAGCTGCCCCATCTACCACCTCAACACATAACTGGGCCTCCTGGGTTTTCTCGCCTCGAAGCAGGTAGATCATCCCTCACACCTGCTGTGGGGACTGTGGGGAGCCAGAGGTTATCAGGCTGCAAGGGTCAGCAGGGGCCAAAGGGTGGGCATTGAGGGACAGCAGCAGCAAGGGGGTGGCCACGGCTTAGCTCAGCACGACTGGTCGCCCCAGCGGGGCTGGTGGCAGGCTCCTGGGAGGTGGGCACAGGAAGGGTGGGTTATGATGGACACAGAGTTTTGTCAGAAGGTCAGCCTGGGCTCTGGGTGCCACCCGGGGGGGGGGGTCCACAGGATGGAACCTGGGCACAGCCCGTCCCACCCCACCCTGGGCAGCTGCTAACCCCTGAGATGGATTTGTCAGCGTGGAACCGGCTGTTTGCCTTGTGAGACTCATCTCAGTTTGCCTGGGAGGGGCCAGCCGCAGGTGACCGAGCCCGTCGGATGCTGCTGGTGTCGGCTGGGAGCCTGGCTGACCGCCCTGGTGCTCTCAGCCTCTCCCTGGAGCGCCCTCAGCCCTGTCCTTTGCCTGCCCTGTGTCTCAGTCCCTGCCCCGGTCCTCCAGCTGCCCCTCCGTGCCGATGGCCTTCTCACCTCCGGACCCAGCCAGCGCCTGGAACTCGGAGAGCAGCCGGACCTGCTCGTGGGCAGCTTGCTGCAGACTAAGCCTGGCCCAGACTGGGGAGGTCGGGGGCTCCCCCGGGTCTGGGAGGGTGGCACCTGTTCTGTTGCTGTCGTGGACATCAGTGCCTCCCCACTACCAATGCAGGACCTCTGCCAAAGCTGCAGGATGCTTGGGGCCGGTGGGGGTGGGGGTCAGGTGCTAAGTGCTTGCTGTGGGCAGCAGAAGTGAGGGTGGAACTCAGCACAGTTCTGAGTCTGCCCTACGTGATGGATGCCCCAGGAGAGAGAACCAGCAAGGAGTCCGGGATCCTGGCGGCCATGCCGCCTCCCCTGTCTGTCCTGCGTTCCCGGTCTCTCCCGCTGCTGGAGCCCAAGGACTGAGACGCCTGCCAGGCTCCCCCCGGGCGCTCTACAGCTGTGCGTTTATGTCACCCATCCCGAGTCACAAGGAGGAAACTGAGGCTGAGACCCAGACAGCCTGGCTCCAGAGGCCACCTCCTCGCGGCCCGTGTCTCCGTCTCCCTGACAGTCGCGGCTGTGCAGTGCCGCGGGGCTGACAGCTGAGCCGGGCAGCCTAACAGCAGGTGAGGCTGAGGCCTAAGTAGCAGTGGGCAAGCCAGACAGCTGTGGACGGGCTCTGGAACATTCTCGCCTGGTGAGCAGGCCCTGCCCCCACTGTCCCCTACCTGCCAGCACTTGGTCAGCAGTCCCCGTCCTCGGTGAGGGCCGACGTGCAGAGAACCTTCACTGAAACCAGGCCCCCTGTAGACTCCAGACATCAAAACACTGACCATCTCCGGTGGAAAGTAAGAGAGTTTTGGCCTCAGCTGCTCTGAGCTGTTGCTGCGCTCTGACAACCCCCCCCCCCCCAACACACACACACACACTGACCCTGCCGCGTCTCGGCCACCATCAGCTCTGACGTTACGGTTCTGACAGCCGGCCGCAGTCACAGAGCAGTGGTCGCTCTGAGCCCCCTCCAGAAGCGTGGCCGCGTGGCCTCCCCGGGGGTGTGGCTGCAGTGGCTCAGCTCCCCGCATTTGCTTCCAGGGGAGCGCAGGACGGTCGTGTCGTGCACGCGGATTGTCAACAAGACCACCACGCTGGTGAATGACAGCGACTGCCCCGCAGCGAGCCGCCCGGAGCCCCAGGTCCGGAGGTGCAACACACACCCGTGCCAGTCCCGGTAAGGAGCTGCATGGTCTCGCGAGGGTAGGTGATGATGGGGGGGCGGTGCCGGGCACAGTGGTGCCCACTTAGTGCCCCAGGGCCGCTCCGTGCCGTGTTCTGGTGACTTCTACATCCTGAAAAGACCAGATTCTCCCAGCTGAGCCCAAATTCTGATGGAGAAAATGTGTCCAGTCCCAACAGGAAGGTGTCTCATCAGAACCATTACTAAGTGGCACACAGAGAAACGAGCTATTGCCACACACTTTGAACTTGGACCTGTCAGCTCCCCCAAATTCCTTTTTCTTTCCTTCTTTGTTTAGAGATTTATTTATTTCTCTGAAAGGCAGAGTTATAGAGAGTTGGGGGCGGGGGAAGAGAGAGAATGAGAATATCATCCACTGGTTCACTCCCCAAATGTCCACAGCATCAGAGGCTGGGCCGGGCCAAAGTCAGGGGCCAGGAAGCCCTATCCGAGTCTCCCACGTGGGAGGCGGGGCCCAGGCATTTCTGCCTGCCTTCACTGCTTTCCCAGGTGCATTAGCAGGGAGCTGGTTCAAAAATGGAGCAGCTGGGACTCGAACTGGTGCTTAGATGGGACGTGAGTGTTGCAGGCAGTGGCTTAACCCGCTGGGCCACAGTGCCGCCGCCCCCCAGATTTCTTTTTCCTGAAGGAGGTTGAAGTAGATGTTAGGGTCCAGGCGCCCAGCGGGGGAGCACACACACAGGTTGGTGCGTGTGGCTGGAATCAACACCAGTGTGTACATGTCATGGTGCTAATTGTGTCGGATTTGCCAGGACTCTGTCCCAGCCACACTGCCCACACGTCCTGGAGCGACCTCTCGGGTGCTGGTGGGTAAGGTCTCCCCGCCTCCTGTGACTTCAGCGGGGCCGTGTGCAGAGCGCTGGCTCCGCCACGCCACGCAGGGCTGCCTGCGCCCCCACTCCACTCGAGTCCAGGTGAATGCTTTGGTCTGGCTCTGAGTGCCGCTCATGTCCTTTCATTCCATTTTCCAAGAACTTTTTTGAAATGCCTTCATACATACATATTAACACACATATATGTACATGCACACGCACATCTCAAATGTCGTACATCCATGCAGAATATGCATAGACATGTACAGCTATTGCGTACACGTGTGTGTATTTACATGCACACATGTGGACAGTGAAGTTTGAGTTGCTGCACAGTGTGTCCCAGTGCTCGTGAGACTCGCCTAAGACCCCGTGGTTACGTGGTCTCGGGCTGGCAAGGGGATGCACAGTCTGACCTGCGAAGACCGCGTTTGGGTAGGGGGGCGGGGTTTCGAGTTGTGTGAGGCCTGGGGAGCCAATGGCTGCGTCAGAGGAGGTGGGCCTGATTGAAGGACAGAGCCCGGAACCGGAGCCCGGTGCTGTGAATGTTGGCAGCCCAGCGTGGATCCTGGCGCCGTGGGAGAGGCGTCCTGTGTCACTGTTACGCCTTGACCTTTGCCACGACAGGGATGTTTCCTTTTCCCCCTTTAATCTCCTGATCCCCCTTTAACTTTCTTCAGCCTTCTTTTTCCAGCAAGTTCCAGTGATTTCCTTGGCCTTCCCGACTGCGTGCCATTAGCACCTCTTCATCTAATCCCGTGCCTAGCTTTGTGGATTCTCCCAAACCTTGCTGTCACCCTATGCAGTCTGGACTCTGACCACAGGGCAGAGGGCCTCTCTCCAGCCACCTGTACAACCAATACACACATCAGCAAACCTGGCCTCAGCCTTGGCAGGCGAGACAGGAGTCACGGAGCAGCCCAGCTGTTAGGGCTGTGGCCAGCAGCCTTTGTGTTGCTGACCAGGAGCACCCCAGCATCGCTCAGCACCCCAGCAGTGACACTGTGCACAGCCCCCAGAGGCAGGGGCGGACAGGGCAAAGGGCTCACCGGGGGCACAGAGCTGGGGCTCCCCAGGTCTAACGTGTTGCAGCCCTGTAGAGCTTACTAACCACTAGGGAAGGCTGTTCCAGTTGCTAGACACTTCCCTGTAGTATCTATGATCTGACCGCGTTCCAGGCAGCACACGCTGAGCTGTGCGCTGCGTGAGGGTGACTCAGGAAAGAACACTGAACGTCTTACTGGCAGTTGAACAGTCATGTGCAAGAAGTGTATTTGGTTTTTAAATTCGTCCTCGTTACTCAGCTATCTTAACCAGACTGGTCTTGTTTTAGGTTAAAATCGAATGAAATTCCTTGTGGATTCCCCCATTTTTTTTTCCTACTAAATCATGTTCCATCATGATGTGTGTTCCATCATGATGTGTGTTCATGAACGTGTCCATGTGTGCACATGTGTGTGTGTGTGTGTGTGTGAGAGAGAGAGAGAGAGACGATTTAAGAATGAAGGCTGAAACGTGTGGGTCTTTAGCTACAGCCACAGTCTGAGGAATTACCATTGTTTAATCCTTTCTTGCCAGCTGAAACAGATTTTCTTTCCTCCTCTCTCCTAAAATCTAACCGTGACTGGGGACGCTGGTCTACTCCATGCCTCTGGGGAGAAACTGACAGGCTCCGAATGCTGGAGCTCCCTTCTGACACCTTCCAAACTCCGTAACTCCTCCTGTGTTAGTTAAACAGCGAAGTCTGTGCCTTGCTTGGTTATCTACCTGAGGAGACACTCGGGGTGGGGAGTGCTGTTGAACACCCGGGCACTCCTCCCTTTGAGAGCGCCCAGAGCCCAGGTTTGCAGCTGAGGCGATGTCTCTTGTTGCGAGGAGGTCGCAGAAGCCGTTCTCTCCTCCTGGAGCAACAGGGCTTCAACGTCGCGCGGTCCTGGGTGCTCCCACGTCTGCGACACAGCTAGGAGGAAAGGTGAAGGAGGACAGAGCACAAACACAGCCACGACGGTGCTGCTCCATCAGAGGTGGGGGAGAGGTCCATCCCCCCCCCCCGTTCTGGGAGAAACATCTGGCACAGGAGGGAGCGCAGCGCAGGCGGCGGCGGCAGCTTCCCCGACTGGCGGCCCTGCGGTGCGGCTCTCACGGTGAACTTGGATGCACTTGGCTCTGCCCCCCAACAGTCTCTTCCCCGTGGGGCCTCGTCGGGTCGTTTGGGGCACAGCCCCGTGTCCCCTGTCTGTCTGACAGAAACAGAGTCTGTGCAAACAGAAGGGCCATTCTCTCTTCCTTGAAAGTACTATTTCCATACCACCCATTGAACATAACACGGTGGGGAAAGCGTGCTTCTTCCTGTGAGGGTCTCAGAGAGCAGAGGCGGAGGAAAGGGCTGGAGGCGGGTGAGCACCTCGAGAATCCCTCCTCTGAAAACCCACAATGATCCGAAATCCAAAACTCACTGAGCTCCGGGCACAGGTGGAGAGTCCCGCACCTGACCTCACGCGACCAGACCCAGTCAGGCCATGTGCATGGGTGTATTTGAAACATAAAGAATTTCAGGCCGGCGCCGCAGCTCAATAGGCTAATCTTCCGCCTTGCGGCGCCGGCACACCGGGTTCTAGTCCCCGTCAGGGCGCCGGATTCTGTCCCGGTTGCCCCTCTTCCAGGCCAGCTCTCTGATGTGGCCCGGGAGTGCAGTGGAGGATGGCCCATGTGCTTGGGCCCTGCACCCCATGGGAGACCAGGAAGAAGCACCTGGCTCCTGCCATCGGATCAGCGCAGTGCGCGGCCGCAGCATGCTGGCTGCAGCGGCCATTGGAGGGTGAACCAACGGCAAAGGAAGACCTTTCTCTCTCTCTCTCTCTCTCTCTCATTGTCCACTCTGCCTGTCAAAAAAAAAAAATTTTTAGTAGGCTAGGGCCTTCTGCCCAACATACCTTATTTTATATGCAAATATTCCAAAATTTAAAAAAATCTCAAGTCCAAATCGCTTCTGGTCCCATGCATTCCGGTGAGGGATGCCCAGCCGTGCTAACGGTGGTGCACAGTGCAGTGTCCTCGGCTCGCAGCTCAGCATGGCGGCCCCTTCCCTCCCCGGGCTCATGGTGCCCTTAGGTAAGGCCATGGCAGCTCACGTCTGCACGGCCACGGACTGGGATTCCCATGAGCCTCCTGTGGGCCAGCTGGCCAGGCCTCCATCCTCTAGACACTTGTGTGCTGGTGCTGGCAGCACCTCCCACGGTATGGCCCACAGCAAGTCTAAAGGGAGACAGGATGTCTGGGTGCATCAAGTCCATGGAGTTCAGATCACGCTCGGCGTCGCCCAGTGCCCCTACTGTGCTGGGAGTCACTGCAGGGAAGCCACCACGGAGCTGTGTGCCTGGAGAAGCCTGACCCTAGAACCCACCTTCCTGAGATTCTGCATAGGGGGCTGCCCTGGCAGCAGGCTGGGCCACCAGGCTGCCGGGGAAGCTGACTGCACTGGAACTCAGCCAGCCTCTTCCTCGTGTTGGATAGACGGCCACGTGCTGTGCAAGGTGAGGTGGCTGTCCCGTAACCTAGTGGCAGGAGCCAGCGACCGTCCTGCCCCGCCAGTGCCCCCTCCCTGCTCTGAAGCTGCAGCTGTGACATGGAAGTGCAGGGTGGTGGCCCGGGCACCACCACCTTCCACATCACATTTAGTGAGCAGGCGCCAGGCGGGAGAAACCTACATCCTGAGGGCCTGGGACCCCGGGCCACAGAGACCAGAGCTGAAAGTACACCCAACAGAGAATCCAGGCAGGATGTGGCGTGGCTCCCACAGTGGAAGAGGCACTGAAAACGGGCTGGAGAGAGGAGGTAGTGGTATTGCTGCAGGGGACAGCCTGGGCTGGGCTTCTCTGTCCCCCGCCCCCACACACTCACAGCGCAGGCTGCCTTGAGGTCTCCTTGGCGGGGCTCAGCTCACGTGCCCTCCTGGTGGCCAGAATATTGGAGGTGTGGTGTAGACACCCAAAGGAAACCAAGGTGTTCTCATCAGGCGAAAGGAGACCACGTTGGATAGGCGAGCCACAGCAGGTGCACCCTGCGTGGACCGGTGCTGATGTCATGATGAGACCAAGGTTAAGGCCCGAAGCTCCTCCACTGACACTGTCCCGCTAGAGTGAGGGCTGCAGGCCTGCTAGG